AAGAAAGAAAGAAAGAAAGAAAGAAAGAAAGAAAGAAAGAAAGAAAGGTGATAGACTTTTGTAAATTAATCTTTCCTGCAACCTTAATGTAATTGCTTATTATTTCTGTGAGCTTTTTTGTTGGTGAAGTCTCAAATTTTCTATATAGACAATCATGTCACCAAAGACAGTTTGGTTTCTTCCCTTCCAATCTGTATACCTTTCATTTCTTTTTCTTGCCTTGTTGCATTCCATTGTTATGTTGAAAAGCTGTAGTGAAAGAAGACATTTTTTCCTTGTTCTTCATCTTAGTGGGAAAGTTTTGAGTTTTTCATCATTAAATATAATGTTAGCTGTATATTTTTGTAGACATTTTTAATCAAATTGAAGAAATATTTTATCCATATTTTATTAAATTTACTCTTAAACTGTACTAGTCAGGGTTCTCTAGAGGGATAGAACTAATAGGATAGATGTATATATGAAGGGGAGTTTATTAGGAGAATTGACTCACATGATCACAAGCTGAAGTTCCACAATAGGCTGCCTGCAAACTGAGGAGCCAGGAAGCCAGTCCAAGTCCCAAAACCTCAAAAGTAGGAAAGCTGATAGTGCAGCCTTCAGTCCGTAGCCAAAGGCCTGAGAGTCCCTGACAAATCGCTGGTCTAAGTCCGACAGTCCAAAAGCTGAAGAACTTGGAGTCTGTTGTTCGAGGGCAGGAACCACCCAGTATAGGAGAAAGATGGAGTCCAGAAGACTTAACCAGTCTTGTCTTTCCACATTCTTCTGCCTGCCTTTATTCTGCCCACACTGGCAGCTGATTAGATGGTGCCCACCCAGATTGAGGGTGGGTCTGCCTCTCCTAGTCCACTGACTCAAATGTTAATCTCCTTTGGCAACACCCTCACAGACACACCCAGGATCAATACTTTGCATCCTTCAACCCAATCAAGTTAACACTCAATATTAACCATCATATAAGTACTTTATGTTTTTGATGCTATTGTAAGCATTAATTTCAATTTTTATTTGTTTTTGCAAGTATGTAGAAATGAAATTAATTGTATAATTATTCTTAAATTCTGAGTATTGCTAAACTCTCTTACTAGTTCAAGTAACACTAGCAAGTAATTTTGTGATTCTTTACAAATTTTTAGTTTTCAAATATTCCAATAAAAAGGTTTATTTTCAGTCTTAGTGTCTTCTATTTCTTTTCCTTGCCTTACTTCAGTGGCTGGGGCTTTTAGTACAATATTGTATAGATAGTGATTTTTTCCAATCTTAGGTAGAATGATATTAGTCTTTCATCCATACATATACTGATAGATGTAGATTTGTCTTACATGCTTTTTATTGGCTGAGAAATTTCCCATTTACTCTTATGTGTGGTGCTTTTAATTATGAATGGCTGTGGAATTTTGTCAAAAGCTTTTTCTGTATCTATTATGATAATCATTAGGGTTTTCTCTTCTGTTGATATGATAAATTGCAATGATTGCTTTTCAAATGGCAAATCATGCTTGAATCACCAAGATAAACCCTAACAGTATATATTATCTATTTTTAAAGTATTAAACTTGATTGGCTAAAATTTTGTTAAACTTATTTTATTTTATTTTTTTGAGATGGAATTTTGCTCCTCCTCCAGGCTGGAGTACGATGGCATGATCTCGGCTCACTGCAGCCTCTGCCTCATGGGTTCAAGTGATTCTCCTACCACAGCCTCTGGAGTAGCTGGGATTACAGGCGTATACCACCATACCCAGGTAATATTTGTATTTTTAGTAGAGATGGGGTTTCACCATGTTGGCAAGGCTTGTTTCGAACTCCTGACCTCAGGTAATCTGCCTGCCTCAGCCTCCCAAAGTGCTCGGATTACAAGTGTGAGCCATTGTGCCCGGCTTGTTAAACATTTTAATGTTAATGTTTATGAAAGTTTCTGGTGTGTCATTTTCTCAAATGGAATAAATTTACTAGTGAAACTATCTGGTTTGGGAGTTTATTTGTTAGAAGGTTTTTAATTACAAATTCAATTTCTTTAATAGATACATACCTATTCAAATTTTCTATTTTTTTTGGTTGATTTTGGCAATTAAAAAGTAGTTTATCTATTTCTTTGAGGAGGTTAAAATTAATGCCATAAAAGTACTTATAATATTCTCTTCTTACTCTTTAGTAACTGTAATGATGTCACATTTTCCAGTTCTTATGTTAGTAATCTGGGTCTCCTCTTCCTTATTCTTTGATACCAATGCTAGCTAAAGATTTATCATTTCTTTAAAGTATTTATCAAGATTTCAAACATCCTATTCTTGCTTTAATTACTACTTGTTTTTATTTTTTGATTTTTGCCCTCATCTATATTATTTCCTGTCTTCTGCTTACATTACATTTATTTTCTAATTTATATTTTTTAAATGAAAGCTCAGATAATTGATTTTGCAACTTGTTTCATTTCTATACAAAAGTGTTTTAATGCCATATTTGTTCCTCCTAATGGTAGTGTTACCTGCATCCTACACATTTCAGTATATCTTAAATTTTTTTTTTGATTAATTCAAAATATTTTTAAATTTCTGTTATGGCTTATTTCTGACCATACATACATAGAAGTGATATTTTGTTTTGCTTTTTACAAATACTTAGAGTTTTTCATATATTTTTCTGATATTTCTCATTTAATTTAATTGTAGTCAGAGAACATACTCTGTTTATTTTCAGCCCTCTTAAATACATTGAAACTTATTTTATAGCCTAAAATATGGTATATCTTGGTGAATGTTCCATATACACGTAAAATAAATGTATATTCTGCATTTCTTAGGTGACTGTTTTATAAATGTTATTTATGTCAAGTGGTTTTTAATGCCATTTAGGTCCTCTCTATGCATTCTGGTTTTTTGTCTACTTGTTGTATCAATTACTAAAAGAATAGTGTTTTAAGTCTCCAGCAATAATTGTAGATTTGTCTATTTCTCTATTCCATTCTGTCAGCTTTTATTTAATGTGTATTAAAACTCTAATACTGGATTTATATGTGTTTAGGATTGTTTTTTCTTCTTGATTGGTTGACAGTATTATCATTATAAAATATACCTATCACTAGAAATATTACATAAAATCTACCTGATCTGAATTTAGTCACTCTAGCTTTCTTATGATTACTGTTTGCATGGTATATATTTTTAAATTATTTACTTTTTGTGCTATAGGTTTTTACAGTTAGTTTTTATAGGCAGACTTTTGTGCCATCTGATAACTTGTTACATTTTAATTGGAAATTTTAGTGCATTAATTTTTAACGTAGGAGTTTATATGGTTGTACTGAAGTCTACATTATTGCTATTTATTTTCTTTTAAATTCATTTTTTATTCTATTGTTTTCCTTTCTTTCTTGCCTCCTTTTTTGATTAACTGGGTATGTTTTAGGGATTCATTTTATCTCTGCTGTTGGCATATTATTTATAACTCTCTGTTTTATTTTCTAAATGGCTGCTTTGGGATTGATTGACAGTATACATATTTTTGCTGGATATAGAATTATAAATTGGTAGATTTTGGGAGGGCCAAGACTTGGAGCATGTTGTTCCTATTTATTTAGTTTCTGATAACAAGTGTCTTGTTATTTTTATCTTTATTTCACTTTATGTAATATGTGTTTTTTTTTTCTGGCTACTTGTAACATTTTCTCTTTATCATTGCTTTTCAGTAATTTAATTGTAATGTGCCTCTGAGTGTTTGTGTATGTATGTGTTTCCCTTGATTGCATTTCATTAAGCTTTTTACATCTGTGAGTTTACAGTTTTTATCATATTGTGAAAGCTTGGAAACATTATTTCTCAAATAGTTATTATATCATTTTGTGTCTCTCTTCACCTTCTGGGGCTCCAAATATGCATATAACAGATAGTTTAATGTTATTCCACAAATTTCTGAGATTCTTTTTATTTTTCTTTTTAACTGTTCTTTATTTTGTTATGTTTCTATTGTCAATACCTTCAAAAGTTTACAGAGTTTCTTTTTTTTTTTTCTTTTTCTTTTTTTTTTTTTTTTGAGACAGGCTGTCACTCTGTGGCCCAGACTGGAATGCAGCAGCATGATCTCAACTCATGGCAACCTCCACCTCCCATGCTTAGGTGATTCTCTCATCTCAGCCTCCTGAGTAGTTGGGACTACAGGTGCTCACCACCCTGCCCAGCTAGTTTTTGTAGTTTTTTAGTACAGAGGGGGTTTCACCGTGTTGCTCAGGCTGCTCTCAAGCTACTGGGCTCAAGGGATCCTCCCGCCTTGGCCTCCCAAAGTGTTAGGATTACAAGCGTGAGCCACCATATCAGGCCAACTTTTTAAATATAATGTCTTTTTTGCTTTTCATTCCATCTGTGAAATTTTTATGCAAATATTTTTGAAGTTTAAAAGTGTAATTTCGTTCTTTTGAATTTATCTCCTTACTGTGTTCATATTTTCATTTAATTACTTGTTTTAGTTCATTTTGAGAACTAAGTTCACTTGAGAAGGGATAATCAGCTGGGTGCGGTGGCTTGTGTGTGTAATGGTAACATTTTGGGAGGCTGAGGCAGGAGGATCCCTTGAGGCCAGGAGTTCGAGGCCAGCCTGAGCACATAATGAGACCCCATCTCATTAAAAGAGAGAGAGAGAGATAGAGATTGGATAATTTTTAAAGAAAATTATATA